TCTCGAATTTTATTTGACAAAAGCATGTGACATGCCTACATATGGAAAAATTGAGGGCGCCCAAAATTTTATTTTTTACACCAGAAGAGCAGGCGACGTGGGATGTTTCCTCTTATGGATTTGATCTATGAGAGAGAACACCTGCTTCACCACGTCGTCAGATTTTCAGTCCCTTTCTCTCATCCCATTTTTAACTAAATACACGGGGCCTTTTCAGAGCATCCCTTTCTTTTCACTTGTCTCGGTCTGTTTTAACAGGGAACAGTGTAATTTCACTGTTCCCTGGTTTTAATCTGTTTTCAACTTGATTTTCAGTGTGGTTGACAATTCGTTTCAATTTAACATTTTTATATGTCAATTTAGATTTTTATATTACGTCTCTGTGTCAAAATGGTCATGATGACATCACACCATGACCATATATAGGCACATCATGACTATATATGGACATACACCATTTTTTGTAAAAAAAAATTCACAATCGGAGGACAAGAGCTTAAGAATAATGGTTGCTTTAGAGCTCGTGTGAGAAATCATATCCAAATTTAACTCACATTTTATTTTATTACAGGGAAATTACATGCAAAAGAACAACTTCTAACGATAACGGTACACGGGAAGATGATGATGTTTAGTAGTGTCCACCTGAACATGTTTCTAGCGTCTGGCTAGACACTAAACGTTTATCTATACTTCAATGGAGTAGCGTTGATAATTATTTATGAAATTTTGAAATTGTAATTACTAGAAAGAAGCATAGTCAATGCTAGAATTTCACGTTATTGCATAAATTTAAGCAGTGCAAAATTTCAGGGTAGTTGAATGGGTAAAGAAAAAGTATAATCCAACTGATTCTGATCACCAATATCATCCCATTATTCAATAATCAACAATATTTTATATTATTCTTTACATGTACAGAAGTTACAGATGGAAAATACAAGGTGCTTCTGAACAATTGTGTTCTATTCTCAATCCGGTAGCGTTATTAGTGGCATTGATAATATTGCATGATATAAATAATTGATACATTAAATTAAACTCTGGTAACATGCGGGTTTTCAATGATAAAGGAAAACAAAACGCTTCGTAAACTAATTGAAAGGAGCTATGAAGATGGCCAGAAAAAAAAAATCTTTAATGCGACACAAAACTCTATAGCGTGGACAAATCGTATTGTACGTGAAAAATGGTCAAGAGAACGCATATGCCTAATGAATTTCATTGGTGAAATTAAGCGTTTAATAATCAAACAAAAAAATATGCATAAATATCCATTTCAAGAATAAATAATGTTTATTTGCTCTACAGTGCCGGGCCCCTAACCACATGGTCCTCGATTTAGCACCCTGACCCAAAAGGGCTTTGTTGATACGTAACAGCATAATGTGTCTCTAACATCGACTGTATATCATATTATATCCAGTGGCGAGTGGAAGGGCCCCTAAATTTTTAAATGTTAAGTCTGTGAGTGCCATTTCCGACCGTTTAGAGGTGCCATAATCATAAATTGTCTTACCTCAGTCCCCAACCATGGTGGGGCTGAGGTGGAATTTACTCTTTTACAGTGGAAGTCTCTCCATGGGCCCTATTAAACATTCCTGGATTCACCACTCGTATTATTTATTTTGTCGTTAAAAACATTTGGAATGCAATGACAAACATAATGATAAAACGAGCACATCAAAAATCCCACAATGGAGTTGGCGTCCAGGACCCAGGCCGGGCCCCACTCTCAGAAAGCCACAGGGCCCCCGGCCCCAACGTTACGCCACTGGTAGGCCTCTCTACGGGACCAAAGTCTTAATAATTTTCTTTCGGTTGTGATAACATTCTGTAGTCACCTCAGTCATGCCATATTATTTAGTGTATAATAAAATGCAAACTAGACGGTCATCTTATCATAATCTGCCTAGTCTGTCGGTAGCGATTGTGAACAAAACGCTGGGGCTAGGCTTACCATGGTTTACTTAAAAGCCGGACACTCACTTCGCCATACGTCTGCAGTACGACCGTCGGCCGACGAATTTAACACAACTCCCTTCTAGCGATAGTCAATGCGATACCGTCTGCTTATTGTCAGTGGCAGGTTGAACGGATCGTCAGTGAAAAAATGATCTGCTGCGCGTCGTGGCGTTGCATTCTCCCTAGAATCGCGTCGACCGACAACCGTCGTGCTTGGTGAGTGCCCTGTTTAGATCATGTTCCAATCAGTCGTAGACCAAAATTGAAAGGAATTCTCGCGCATTTAAGGAACAGCTGTCCCCGATACTGTTTACCATTACAATACTAGGGCCTATTACTAGATATTCGAATATTTTTATCTGGTTTGCATATAATAACTGTAGCAGTGATGGCACCAGGATCTACCCGACGGAGGGGCTAAAGGCCCCGACGGGGGGGGGGGGCTAGTGGAGCGAATCGAGTCTCACTTGGCTGGGGTCAGTTATGGCGAATTTTCATTACTTATTTGAAAGGCATCGAGTTAATATAATATGACTTCATGTAGGCTATGCTTTCTAATGTTGAAATCAGCTTCCAAAACCAAAACATTTTGAATAAAGCAAGAAAAAAAGAATATGCAATGTAACCATCTAATTTATTTTCAAATCCTCATTCTTAAAAGTGAAATTCTATATTTTGGAAATTTTGCATGAAATCTGTCAACCACGCTGTCATGGTCGAGGTTGCTTCATCTATCACGATGTATTCCAACCATCATGAGGCTATCTAAATGAGCATTTGTCATAACAGAACGCAAATTATGTTTAATTAGTCTCAGTGAATTATTATTATTATTATTATTATTATTATTATTATTATTATTATTATTATTATTATTATTATTATTATTATTGTTATTATTATTATTATTGTCAGTAAACTAGGCAGAAATAATGTCAACTTAAGCTGAACACTCACCGCGTCATACGACGAATCCGACTCCTCTATACGACGTTGATTGTCGGTGGCAGTCTGAAATGATCTTCATTAAAAACGATCCGTTGTGCGCGCGTCGTGGCGTTGCGTTTTCCATAGAATCGCGTCTTCCGACGACCGTCGTACTCAGTGAGTGCCAGGCTTACTGCGAAGTACAGTACATCCACTGTTCTTGGTTTATTTTCGATAAAACAGTTCCACAATGCTATTAATGTTGCAATGAATTGGCGGAAACCGGACTGAACGCATACCAAAATTTAATAGCACAGAAATAGTGTTGTGTGTAATGTATAGTATTTATTTCGGAAAATATTATAGAGTATATCATACAGTGTACACGAAGTATAAGCAGGTAATCTATAGCATAATAAATGTAACCTTTTTAACTAAAATTCACATGTTGTTAGACAATTATTCTTATTCATTAATTTATTAATATTATTATCATTATTGATATTGTTATTATTGTTGTTATTATCTGTATTATTATTATTATTAATCATTATTATTATTATTGTTATTATTGAGTCATAGACACTGTACTATTGGTATATGGCCTATTGATATTGCCAATTATTTTATATTAAGCTCGTAGTAAATTTATTGCAAATTATTATTATTATTATTATTATTATTATTATTATTATTATTATTATTATTATTATTATTATTATTATTTTAATTACCACCACCATAGACATTATCTTTATTAATATCGTTAGTGTTGTTGTTGTTCAACAAATGTGATGATAGCTCCAGAATAACAATAATCACGTCAGCATGTTCGATAGGAATAAAACATGCACCTGGATCCATAATATTATTATCTTAAATTATAGATACACAAGTTTTATTTGTTTGTATAGTTAGAACTAAGCACAGTTGTACACTACAGCCACTATAGACATCGGCAATACTGGTTGAATTACGCGTTTTCAAATGGTCACGTATTTGCATGACGTAATAACAAGTCAACATAAACGACTCATGTAAAGCATGTGGTAATCCAACAACTGTTGATTCAAACAAAAAATGGAAAAAACATAATTTATTCGCAGGCTGAGTAGATCTTCGGTTGAAATACATTTTCACAGAAAAATCATCCCCGATCTATTATAGCAATCAGAATGGTATTTTAAATTTTATTATAAAGAAACTGGGTAATAAAATGCTTCTGGCGGGACTCGAACCTGCGACCTCTCGCTGTCAAGGCGAGCGTCATATCCATTAGGCCACGGAGGCTTTATGGTTGAACAGATTCAAATACCACCAGATACACTCCATTACACAATAGATACGGCTAGAAACAAATAGTTG